ATAAAGAAGTAACCTTGAAGTCTTTCCTAATAAGTGGGAGAGTTTAAAACATAGAACAAAATGAGTAGAAAGGAGCTTGACACTAGTAATTCAACTTAACAAATAAATACTGTACCTCTGCTCTGTACCCAGCACTGAGCTGAACATTATAGAGATTCAAAAAATGATATAAGATGGGATCCTTCTTTCGTGATATTAACCTCACATTGATAAGCAAGACCTTACATTTGCACTTTACAGTTACAGATTCTCATTGCAACATGGGAGTAGAATTTTGTGTGGTCTTTTGTCAGTCATAATCGAATTTTACACCAGTCTTTGTGACTTTGGTGAACACAGAGGGCGTTAGTCTTTGGTTCCTTTATATTTTGCTGTGCTTAATAAATCAGCTGCTCCTATTTTATTCGTTAACACATTAAAGATGTAGTTTCTGCCCTTATCCTCCTCCAGAGCTGTGTCTGAAACAGGTTTTTTGGGGGGGGCACCTTTCTAATCCAAATCCAAATCGACACCAGAAACAAATTCAACCTGACAGACAGAATCATTTCATGTTTTAAAAATATCTGTTCATTTGCTCTTTTAACAGATATGAGACAATATGGCACCTTCAAAATAAAACAGATCACAAGATATCAGGGAGATAGAAACTCCTAACTGTGTAAAGATTTGTCACTTATAGCCAGCCTCAATCTGAACTGAGATTCCCTGGAGAATTACATCAACAGGCTAGAATAAAAGATCCAATCAGCCCAAGTAATCGAAATGTGAAATACTCGGAAATAAGAGCTTAGGATGAGAAAAAGGGATGGTTCTTCAACAGCAGAAGCCTTACTCGACCTGAATACCCACCCCATCTCACCAAATCAAGATGACATCCCAAACTTTGTGGAGTCCAAAAGCCCATCTGCTACCCATCCCGGGAGAGGCTGAAAATCTAATTTGCTGATCAAGACAGCTTTGATCTGGTGTGAGGCCTGGTGTCATCTCCTGTTTCCTTCACTCTGATGGGCAGAAATGATATTTTCTTGAGCACTCTGAGAAGTTCTGTGGAGAAAAATTCTGTTTCTGATTTGGGTAGTGAATTTGGGGAATTTAGAGCATGCAAGATGCGCCAGCGGGACCAAAACCAAATTCTGAGACATTCTAAAATGGAATTGAAACTTAATGCGCTTTATTGTTCTGTTTTCACATATCAACTCTCTGAATTCCCAGCCCCATGATGTGGGCCAACCGTTGAATGCAACTTTTCCTTTAAATTACACTGTCAGTTCTTGTATGCATGTGTTGTGATTAATGGGGTTACCCCATGTGGTTCCAGTTTGGGGAGCATCATTTTTCTTTAAAATTGCATGCTCCTTGGTGGTCTTTGCCTTTTCTTTCTAAAGATGGACATAAAAATTTCCTGATGCTGTGCGTTCTCTTAATGATGAAAACCTGCCTTAGATCTTTCCGGTAATTTACACCTCAATATCTCGGACCACTGACAGTAACTTCCTCTTGAAATGACCCAGCTGGAGTTTCCACTTAAAGCAGGATGAGAAGGGAGTGAGGATGTTTTTGTTTCTTTTCTCTCCATTCCTTTTAACCTCCCTCCTCTCCATCACCTTCCTGTTCCACTCCCTTTCTACCCCTACTCACTACTCAAGTTTCATTTAGTTCAAGTGATTGGAAAAAAAAAATAAAAGCACAATGATAATGATGTGGAATTCTACAAACTTGCCTATATTAATAGCATTTAACAGTAAATTGGTGTTTATATATAAAAGTACTAAATGGCTGTTTACTTAAGTATATATCATTTGTGTATATACCTGCGGACCCTATTTGGATGGAGCATGTTCCTATGGCCAATCCAACATCGTAACATTTTTATTGTTCACTGGAGGTGAGGCTGGAGGTAACTATTTATTACACTCGCAAATGCTGCACACACTTGGCGTCTCTATTCTGGATTTGTTTCTGTACATTGAAAGCGTCTGGTGCAGCTGAAGAATAAGCAAAATGAGCCAACTGAGAAAACGTCATGAAAAATCTTGAATTCAGGCACAAGTCATTGAAAAAAGAAAAAAAACTTGGCAAAGGAATGTGACCGTGAGGGTGAGGTAAAATGAGAAAAATGCAGGCAAGGCCACCTCTCCACAACAGTATATCTGGAGACCTGGAAACAGGCTGCTGCTGGGGTATTTATACATTGACTTAGGGACCAGGCCTTTGGAAAATAAGGCTGCAAATTCACCCATCATTTCAAATGAAATAGAAATCACTTTTTAACAATCCATCAATCCCACTTCTGAGTACATATCCAAAAGAATTGAAAACAGGGTCTGAGGACTTCCCTGGTGGTGCAGCGGTTAAGAGTCTGCCTGCCAATGCAGGGGACACGAGTTTGAGCCCTGGTCCAGGAGGATCTCGCATGCCACGGAGCGGCTAAGCCCAGTGCACCATGACTGCTGAGCCTGCGCTCTAGAGCCCGGGAGCCACAACTACTGAAGCCCACGTTCCTAGAGCCCGTGCTTCACAACAAGAGAAGCCACCGCAATGAGAAACCCGCGCACCACAATGAAGAGTAGCCCCCGCTCACCGCAACTAGAGAAAGCCCGCATGCAGCAACGAAGACCCAACGCTGCCATAAAGAAGGAAGGAAGGAAGGGAGGAAGGAAAAAAAAGAAAAGAGAAAAGAAAGAAAGAATTACGAAAAGGCCAGCTGTGGGTCTAAAGGAGTTGGTCTTTAAAAAAAAAAAAGAATTGAAAACAGGATCTGGAAGAGCTATTTACACACCTATGTTTATTGCAGCGTTATTCACAATAGCCAAGAGGTGGAAGCAACCCAAATACCAATTGACAGATGAATGAATAAAGAAAATATACTATATAATACAATGGAATATTATGCAGCCTAAAAAGAAGGAAATCCTGCCACATGCTACAACACGGATGAGCCTTGAGGACGTTATTCTAAGTGAAATAAGCCAATCACAAAAAAGACAAATGCTGCATAATTCCACTTACATGAGGTACCTAGAGCAGTGACAGTCACAGAAGCAAACAGTAGAATGGTGATTGCCAGGGGCTGGGGAGGGGCCATGGGGAGTTGTTTAATGGGTAGAGTTTCAGTCAGGCAAGGTGAAAATGTCGTAGAGCTCTAGGATTGCACAGCAAAGTGCATATAATTAGCAATACTGTACTGTACACTTAAAAAGTTGTTAAAAGGGTAAATCTGTGTTATGTGGGTTTTTTTGCCTCACTCCCTCCAAAAAGAAATACCTTGTTAACGTCAACAATTGAAAAATCTCAGAAGTTTCTTACTGTAGAAGTGGGTAGGGCTCTCTTTACCCAGACATCTTGCGAACATCCGCTGTGGAGGCTCAGAGGATGGCTAGCTAATCACGTCTGTGAATCTAGAAACAACTTGCCCTGCTTGCCAAACACGCGGTCGGGCTCTTGCCCAGCTCTCAGTTATTCCAGAAAAGAGTGCAAGGCTTGTCTCCTCTCTCCCACCACCTATCTACATGGTTCTCTATATTTTTACTCTTTCTCCCATTTCTTTTGTATCAGTGCCTCTCTGGTATGGCTAATCTGGTAATATCAGTGGTGTCAAAAGGCATAAAGAATAGATAGTGAGCACTGATGGCCTCGTGTTAAACTAAATCACCAGGATGTCAGTCTCGATTCATGACAGATAATTAAAGAGTCCCTTCAGACATCCTCATGTGGCCCTGAGGAAACTTTTAGGGGAGGACTCATTTCTAAAGAGTTATGCAGTGCTTTCTTTCGGTGATGAGCAAATTTCTTTCCAAATCAGCTAATCTGCATTCTCTTGAAGGATGCACCTTAGAAAAGCAAGGCTTTGTTTTCGCCACCTCTATCCCCCTATACCTTTCTGATGACCTTTCACCTCAGTTTTCTTATCTGTAAAATATGGGCAATATACTTGTCTTGATGACTGAGAACGCTTTACCAATGTCTTCCAATAACTACAGTGAGACTCCTAAGTTCATCTCACAAGCCTTGTAGCTTCCCAGCAGGAGGGCTATTAGTCCCAAGGGGGCAAAAAAGGATTCTTATCAGGGAGGGAGGATCTTAGATATTACAGTGGTTTGTAAAATTATATACCGTAGTGCTTTATTTCTCTTGTTATGAAGATTCTGCATTTAATTTTTCTTCTTTCATGAAATGATCATGGAACAAAGGTTGAGAAACACTGCCCTTGCTGATGGGCATGTTATTCAGCCACAGCTGAAGTGAACTAGATTCAAACCAAGAGGAAAAAATGATCTAGTTCTCACATTTTGATCTTTAAAAAATAGAAAATGGCTAATCTCCTATAATATACAAGCATGCACTTAGATCTGTTCATTTCACATCAAGTACACTGGCTTCAACCTTGTTTTTAGTATTTGTGTTAAATCTATCAGGAAGTCTTGGTTCATCCAAGTCACATTTCTGTGCATTCTAAAAATGAGTCTGTAAGCAAAGTTCCTTCTAGGACAGAATAAATCTTTTGCTTGAAACCTGCAGCTTTTCCAATGTAATAGTTCTAGGAGGGCAGGAACAAGACCCTGTGCTTTTATTCCTTATGCTAGGTGCTTAACTCAGTGTCTGGTTGTTGGATCAACATGTTTGATTATTTAAAATGTTGGAGTAATGAAAGAACTTTCGTTTTAACTAAAGCTGGGACCAGAGAGAGGCAAGTGAGGTGCCTAGGGTGTAAAATTTAAGGATACACTTGCACAACCCGTATGTTTCGGGCCAAAGGCTCACCTCAGTCCTCACCCTGGTTGTAACACAAGTGGAATCCAATTTCCAAACCCTCCCCTTTTCAGAGTTGATTTACACAGGCAATTCTCTGGAAGTGATACAGTCGCAGGAGTGCAGGAACAAGGAATTTAAAACAACTATTTCAACACCCCTCCATTCCAGTTTTATGAGTAAATTTCTTTTTACTTGCATGTGACTCACATTGACCCCAGAGCCCTAAATTTTCCACTTCTGTCTTCTAGATCACTACGGATCTGAGGCAGCGTTGCACGGACAACCACACTGGGACATCGGCCTCAGCCCCCATGGCTGCAGGCATCATTGCACTGGCCCTGGAAGCCAAGTAAGCCTTTATCTCCATATGTCTCCACTGGCGACAGCCCCTCAGCTCAAGGACAGTTTGCCCCTTCGCTAGTATACGATCTCGAGCACAAGCAGGCAGAATATAATCTTCCCAATTCCACCTTTAAAACTGCAAAGATTAGGCCTTAAGAAAAGCTTCCCCTCTATTAAGGGAAAAGGCAACTTTTTTGGTCTTTATCTTCTTAAGAAATCAAACTGTGTAATTACTTTATTGTGGAGTCATAGTGCAGGCATGCCAGTTGGCTGTAACACTCTTGCCTTGTTGAGGTTTTTATTCTAGTCGGGGAATGTTCTGTGAGTCTCAGAAAGCTTAGGTCTGCCCACTTCTGGTTCCTTTCCCTGAAGGACAGCAATGCAGCTCAGATTCCATGACAGTAGAACCGTCACAGACTCACTCTGGGGAGCAAAACACGGCAAGGTCATATGACAGGAGCCCAGGAAGAAAGACAACCCCCTTAACTGAAATCCTTCTTAATGTAGTCAAATTTGGTGTTTAAAAGATCCCTTTGAAAGGCCCCCTCAGGTTATTTTAGGTTCTTAGGTTAGATTTATATGGTGGTAGGTCTCCTCTCTTCTTTCTCCAAGCACCAATAGATTAGTTTGTCTTAACTGTTTGAAAACCTAATAGAGATCTACACTCCCTTACCCTCAATTTCAAAAGCCAAAATGGCCTGAAAACTGAAAGTTGTTTTTTGCACATTTGACACCAAAACTCATTTGATGGCAAAGCTTGCCCAGAACTGATTTGAAGCTATTTTCAGTCTTTATGTATTGTGAAAATTCACACATTTCACTGTAGAAGCATTAATATCTTTGATTATGAGGTGCTAGCTTGGACCCCACTGGAAGTTTTGTGTACCCTATGCTATGGACACCATATCTGAAAAAATTTTGAATTCCGAACATATCTGGTCCAAGGATTTTATAAAAGGGATTGTGGGCCTGAACTCTGAGGCCATCCCTACAGGAGGATCATAACAAGAAGGAATTGAAGTAATTACATAAGTGTTTTTCCAAAAATAGCCTTGCATCCCTGCCCTAGGGAGGAATGGAAAGATTCTTTCATATAAACCTGATGTAGAGCCATAGCAGGTGACAGGGAAAGAATACAAGAATCATGATGAGACTCGGGTATTAATAAGAACAGTACTGTTTCATTCCCGGTTCATATTGGCATCCCAACATTTACAGCTGACTCTCTATAAGGCAGACAGCCTCTGTCAAGGCAGTTGGGCCTCAATGTAATATGGATTCAGTAAATTGCTAAGTCATGTGTAATTCCTTGGACTGAGTCAGGCAGAAGAACACAGGCTCTGGATATGGTGGTATCTGAGTCCATTCAAGCTGCTATAACAAAATACCATAAACTGAGTAGCTTACAAACAACAAACACTTATTTCTCACAGCTCTCGAAGCTGGAAAGTCCAAGATCAAGGTGCCAGCAGACTTAGTGTCTGGCAAGGACCCACTTCCTAGTTGGCTTTACATGGTAGAAGAAAGGGGCAAGGGAGATCTCTGGATAAATGTCTCTTCTAAGGGCACTGATCCCATTAAAGAGGTCTCCAGCCTTGTGACCTAATCACCTCCCAAAGGCCCTACCTCCTAATACTCTCACATTGGGTGTTAAGTTTCAACATACGAATTTTAAGGGGACACAAGTATTCAGACCATAGCAGGTACCATATCTTTTGGTGGCCTCCTGCCCCTAAGCATTGACATTGAGAGAGATTCAAGCTCCCATCAATGTTTGGATTTCTTTTGTTTTGGCAGGGTTAAATATTAAATCATTTCAACACATTTTATCTTTTAAAGTGTTAAAAGTTTAGCAAGGAGTTGGCACTTATTCTATTCTCACTTTATAACTTTTCACTGGACTGTTCTGACAGCAGATTAAGTATCTGTGTTTTTAATTTGGTGACTGTAAGTTGGATTTTGAAAAATATATCGTCTTCATTCTGAAATTCTGGGTTGTTTCTCTGGAATAGTCTCCTGTCCACAAACTACTAAAAAAAAAAAAAAAAAAAAATCAGGAATTCTTCCTGCACCTCCCCGTTGCCAAAAAAAGGATATAATCTCAAATTTGGCAACCAAGTACCGTAACTGTGGCTGTACAGCACATGCTACTCAGTTCCTTGAAATACTACTATAACACTAATATTTTCAACAATAATTCTTTTAACCACTATTTAAGCTCAAATGAAAAATCCTTAATTTTATGCCTCAAACAACACACTCAGTTGGATAAGGTTGCTTTGGGGCTGGGGAACACACTGGAAAGCTGCCTGTTTTCTTTCCCTTTGCATTTTGAGCATTTTTTTAAGATTGATTTTTGCCAAAACTGCAATGGGTGGAAGGAAGGTCCTAGGATAGAGTTTAGAAAATCCACTGTATTTTAAGATTTTAAACAGTCTAGTCCAATCATGCAGCCAAAGTATATAGTAAACAACCAGATCAGGTGAGAAAGAATAAACCTGTCCTTGCATCTCTATCGGTTTGTTCTACAGGCCAATCTTTGCCTGTAAGTGAAGCTGAAAGTTGGGGGAAATAGGCCTGGGTACCTCAAGAGTGGGTCAGGCACGGATGTTAAATTAAACTAGCATCAATAAGCAATGGGCCTCCCACGGGAGAAAAAGTTATCTAAATAGCAAAGAGCTCAAGTAACAGTGTACCAAGGTTGCAGTTGTTCTCAACAAAGCTAAGTTTAACCCTTGGTAAGTGTACCTCACCCAGTCACCCAACCTCCACCACTAGTACTTCTTAGCGACACTTAAACCTTGGTATTTTGAGATTCAGCCTTTGCTGTCACAAGTTGAAGAGCCTGATAGTAGTTCGCTGTTATCCACGTTCCAAGACCCCCGGTGGATGCCTTTAACCACAGATAGTACCAAGCCCTATATGCACTAGGATTTTTCCTATAAGTACATACCTATAACAAAGTTGAATTTATAAATTAGGCACAGTAAGAAATGAAGAACAGTAACTAAAAATAGAATAATTATAACAATATACTGTATTAAAAGTTATGTGAATGTGGTCTCTCTCAAAACATCTTATAGAACCATACTCACTCTTCTTGTGATGATGTGAGATGATCAAATGCCTCCGTGTTGAAATGAAGTGAGGTGAATGGCGTAGGCATTGTGACGTAGTGTTAGGCTACTACTGACCTTCTGATGATATGTCAGAAGGAGGGTCATCTTTGGGTAATCTGGATCATCACGCCATGGTTGGCGATCTCAGGTGGGACAGGGCTGGACAGTGTGAGATTTCATCGCACTACTCAGAATGCTGTACAATTTAAACTTACGAATTGTTTGTTTCTGGAATTTTCCATGTAATGTTTTTGGACCGTGGTTGACCATGCATAAATGAAACTGCAGAAAGAGAAGACAAGGATTGGGGTGGGGAGGTGGACCACTGTACTCCCTTATAAGGAGGGAAGAGAGAAAGCCAGAGCTGGGCAGAATTCTGACCCAGGACTCTGTCCAGCACTTCAGATATCCACCCCCTGCTCAGGTCAGATGAGTCACTGGATGAGGCTGAGCACTCAGCTGAAAAGCTGCAGGCGGGGACTGCCAGTCCCTATCCAGCTGCATAGCCCAGCTCTCCCTGCCGGACAAGGAGAAATGCATCGTTTCTCCTAACGTCACTAGGTTACAGTAGTATATACTCAGGGAAAACTGCCGCCTCCCAGCTTCTTCACAGCCTGCTTCCTTTCCATCCTCACGTGCTTGCTGGCATCGGCACGTTTGCCTGGATCAGTAGGACTGTGGGTCCTACTGTGGGTGCTACTCCAACTGTTGACCCCTCTGCATTGTGAGTCTTCTTGCTCCCCTAAGGTTGGAGTGTTCCAAAAAATCTTCTTAGGAAACTAACGGAAGAGAAAACAAAAACAAAACAGAGAAACAGAGAAGCTTAAAGTGTTCAGATCTCTTATCTGAACGCAACAAAAGTTTGGTCATTAACTCTGCTGTGATAACTAATAGGACTCCCAGGCCATCCTTATCCTGTGGGGTATGTAAGAACATGTGTTGTAAGAAACTCCACTGTAACTAACACACCCCCAGATCCTTGGGTAAAAGTGTACCACTCCCAAGACTGGAAGGATTCTCAGTTCTAAAAACCTACCTCCTTTCCTTGTTGTCCTGAGTCTAGAGCCTCTTTAAGCTCTATAGCCGCCTCTGACAGTCTGATCATAACTTTGTCTTTCTAATTACTAAACAATTTCCTCCTGCTCCTAAAAATGTTACCTGGGAGCGAGAAGCTCTAAATATTTTCCCTTCTAAAAATCAGGAGCAATTTCAGAATAAGAGAAAACACTGGCATCTTAAAAGAGAGGCAAGAAAACTGTTTCTGTTTCGGGGTGCCCTCATCACTTATGTATTGGTTCAGAGGTTTATAATATTTCTGTTGTTTGGCTTTTGTGGATTTGGGGGGAATTTTCTGGTTTTTCAGTTGAGTGAGTAGGGAATATGTAATCAGTGATTACAAGTAAACTAATTATCATTTGGTCCATTGCTACTTAAAATGACATCTTTTTATATACTGTAACTGAAAAAGTTTAAGTAAAGTAAGTGTCCTGGGAGCAGGTTTCTTTATTTTTTTTTTTTTGAAGTATAGTTGATTTGCAATGTTGTGTTAATTTCTGCTGTACAACAAAGTGATTCAGTTATACATATATACACATTCTTTTTTAAGTATTTTCCATTATGGTTTATCATAGGATACTGAATATAGTTCTCTGCTATACAGTAAAACCTTGTTGTTTATCCATTCCATATATAACACCTTACATCTGCTAACCTCAACCTCCCACTCCACCCCTCCCCCAACCCCCTCCCCCTTGGCAACCACTAGTCTGTTCTCTATGTCCATGAATCTGTTTCTGTTTCATAGATAAGTTCATTTATGTCATATTTTACATTCCACACATAAGTGATATCATATACTATTTGTCTTTCTCATTCTGACTTACTTCAC